CTGTATCTTAATCCAGGATAACAGGTGACCTGACATTCACTTTAGGGAAGTGGAGTGTGGAAATAGCCAACTTTAATTTCCTCTTACTTAATCACAGTTTAGGTATTATGAGGACTTTACATATATTTACTCCCTTAATCCTTTCATTGATCCTTTGAAGAAGTGCAGTTTTCCCTATTTTAGAGATGGCAAAGCTGAAGCTTGGAGAGGTTAAATAATTTGTCCAAGTCAACAGAGAACCAAAATTCAAAACTCTTTGCCTTCAAAAAACACTAAATCCTATTATAGTGATTTTTTTCAGGACTTTTGCTCATTAGAGGGTCATGTTTTTTGTGTATTTTATGTTACTTTTTCAACAATAGAACTCTCAGGGCTGTTGGAATCATTTGATAGTACATATCAACAATATTAAAGTGGAGCTTTGCCTCTGTAAACATTTAAAATATTTGTTCATGGGGCTGGGGATTTAGCTCAGTGGTTCCGGCGCCTGCCTCGCAAGCGCAAGGTCCCAAGTTTGATCCCTGGTACCGAAAATAAAATAAAATACAATAAATATTCGTTCATGTTATTGAACACACTAATGTGCAAGCACCACATACACATTAAACATTTTGCTTAATGGAGTAATTTGTGAGTGTGGTAGTGTAATTAACATCATTTTATACAGGAGAGATTTGGCCTCCATAACTCCACATCTGCCTTAGTTCACAGTCTCCAACATTAATGGTCCTCCTTAATTTATTTTATGGGTTCTTCTTCACCTTCCTGATGTTAAGCTATTGGACGACCCCAAAGCTCAGTCTTGGGGACTCCTTCTACTCTGTCATTCTCCTGAGGTGCTTCACCCTGTCTCATGGTTTTAAGGGGCATCTCTGCGATGATGCCCTAACTTCTGTACTGACCTCCAGGCTAAAATACCCAACCGCCACTCACAGCTCCAACTGGGTGATTGATAGACATCTCAAACTTTATATATTCAAAGCTGAACCCTGATTTTTAACTCAAACCTGTACTTCCCAGTCTTCCTTATTTTCTTAAAATGTTAACAAAGACTAAATCAATGTTAGTGAAATTGGTAGTCTTAACAGCTTTCTTAAACAGATCAATGAAATTGTAACAATTTATTATCTGAAATTTATTTTAACAATATCTGATTCCAGAGTTGACATATTGGTATTTATGTTGTCCACGCACACACACATCCACACAAAACACACAATACTTCCTAGGAAAAATGTGTACTTGTAATAGCATATAAATAAATAAAGTTATTGAAAGTAAAATAAAAGTCATGAGCATCTCCCACCAGCAAATGAAAAGGTGTTCCATATTCTATTTATCTATGAAATGTATGATGAACTTTTAATAAGATCCTACTACATACCCATCAGGATGCTTAGAATGAAATGGACAGAGAATAGCAAATACTAGTGAAGATGTGAAGTAAAGGAAACTCTGCAAAGGAAATTATATTAGGAGAAATACAATATTCAATAACTAATTAAGTCCTAAAGTGGACACCTATTATTTTCTGTCTACCTAACATCATGTATTTTGGGGAATTGTTATTTCTCTGTCTCATTATGTTGGACATAATCAATGTACATTCTTGCGGCATCCCTCATGGGTGTGGAAAATGCACCATATCTCCAGACATAATGATTAATGTAGTAGTGGTCAGCATTTGCTCCAAGTGAAGTCACTGAGAATCTGTGAGGGAGATTCAGTCTTGTTTCTCTCTCTGTCATCATAAACTATCAAGATAATGTAGGCCTGTGCCTGCTAGGATCATCTTGCCATGACAGAAGAAAGTTCTTTCTCAGGCAAGAAAATCTGAGAGACAGAACTCCTATTGCATTGAATTTCAGCCCGAAGCCAGGATATAAAGTTTTCTTTTGAAAAATTCACATCTGTTTAGCTCTAAAAGTGACAGAAGGATATCTGTCTATACATAAGTCTATACATAATTTTGAGGCGAAATGAACTACTGAGGGTAGTCTTTATAAAAACTGAGGCATAAATTCCATAATATAAAAAATCGATATAAGCAAAAAACTAAAAGCACTTCAATAAGTAACACATAAACAGTAGAAAATAAAAGTGTTAGTACTTACATGGCTAGTATTATTCACCTATATTAGAAATTTAAAAAAATCAAATCTAAAGCAATTTTCTCCTATCAAATCTGACATATTAAAATTATAATATTCAATGTTGAAAACTTCTATAATGTACACTTTAAACACTGGTAATATGAAACACGAAGATTTGAGTAAAAAAATCATAATTATTTATGATTGCAATATATTGAGAAATGGTTAAGTAAATACAAAATTTATTTTGGGGTGTGATTTGGAGAGGATTTCATTTTTTACAATGAGGCTAATTGTCCTGTTTGCATATTTGCAGTGGTCTGCTGCTAGGCATTCTATCTTTGTCTATTTGTCCCTTTATTCTGTCATGTTAATATTCTTGGACTTGAAGAGACAATTTTAGAATGAATTTTAATATTGGATAGGAAAAGATGCTTGTCCTTCATATTGTTTCAATAACATTTTGGCTGTTTTCCTCTTCTCTATTTTCTAAATCCATACGCATTTTAGAAACATCTTATATTCCAGTAACTCCAAAGATCTTTCCTTAAGAGTTCAAATAAATTTGAATTTATGGATATGTTTGAGACAAATGACATCTTTTATATAATAATATTTCACATCTAAAAACATAATATGTCTTCAGATATTTGAGTATTCCTTTATATGTACATGTATATGCATACATATCTGTATTATCTATAATAGATTCATACAACTCTTGTTAGATTTATTCCTTAAAGCAGTGGTGGCAAGCCTATGGCACGAATGCCACAATGGGCTGTTTGTGTCATTGAAAGCTCTAAAATGTTTGCCATCACTGCTTTAGAGGAATGTTATGATTCTATTATTATAAATGTATTTTAAAATGTTAACTTTCTATTTTTAATAGACATAGAAAAGCAACTAATTTTGTATACTTATCCTATATCCAACAATCTTTAGGAACTGAATGAGTTCCTGTCTTTCCCTTCCATTAAGGGGGCTGGCTAGAAACTCTAGGGTGTGAAGTTGGCAGATATAATTCAGAATGTGAGTGTGGGTTGAGAAGAAGGCAGGCATGTGGGTCATCCCCATCCCCTCCTAAACCTGGTAATGTAGAAACATGGTGTGCTTCCTCTGGAATGTCATCCATCCCAGTGGGGAAGCCCTTGTCTCTCTGGCTCAGGTCCTACAGACAATTGTTGTCTTCAGCCTCCAAGCTGGATCCTCTAAGCTTTTGGTTTCTAACCTCTCATCTATTCACTGATTAACCTACTAAAGCACCTGTTAATCTTTACTTATGTCTGCCCTTATTCCCTATTACAGAATCCTGCCCATGTGCTTTATGGTAATCATCACACTTCATGAGTATTTGGTAATGTTTACTGTCTCTTCTTCCCATAGATGCAGTTCTCATGCGGGCAAGGACCAGGTCTTTTTTGGTACTTCCCATTTAGCTTAATAAATGCTTTAAACTGAATGAGTTAAATATATCAAACATCTGTTTGAATTTTTTAAGTTAATAATCCATTTGTCTCATCTTTAAAAATCTTAGTTGTATGTTTTTGTGTTACTTGCATCGTTGCCTTTTAAAATAGGCATTGCTAGTCCCCATTTGACAAATAAGGCTCAGTGGTTCAAATGAAGTTGCATGGCTCACATCAGTAGACGGGAGTCAGTAAAGTTGAAAATGACCCAAATCATCTACCAAAATCTAATTCAAATACCACATAAAAAGAACTAGAGAAAGAAAGGAGGGAAGGAGGTAAAGAAGAAAGGGGTCAGAACAAAAGAAAGGAGGAAAGTAAAAGAGGAAATATGCATTGGTGAGTTTTCATGTCAAGATCATATCATACAATCTGTCATGCTAAAACCCCCTACACCTCATACTTTAAACTTATTAGGAAACCGCATACCTCTCTAAGACATTTCAAGTTAGAAAATTGATTAAGAGTCCTCTCAAATGACTGTCATACATGAATCAGAAGGAGTAGGAAATAAACAGGTTTGTAGTTGTAGAATTAATCTCTTTTTTTTTCCTGCTACATTTTATCACATAAAACTGGGTGCCAAAGCTAGATCACACAATCAAGCCTGATAATTGTAAGGAGTACTTTCAACATGATTTAAAGTTAAATTTCTAGTTCCAATCCATTCTTTCATAATGTTCTGCCTTTTACAACATTATAGAAAACGTTGGCTCTTCAAACATTTAAAAGCCAAATGAGAGAACGTCTTGTGAGTTTTTTTTTAGAGGTATGAGTGTAGAAATAGTTACTTTCTATTACAATCAATTTTAAAGAAAAACTGCTGCACTTATCTTTTAATTTTAACCAATAGCACTATGAATGCTCTGTGTAAGTCTGATGCTGAAATAAATGGTCATTTTTTTTTTTTTTCTTTTGGTACCAGGGATCGAACTTGGGTCCTTGCACTTGCGCAGCAGGTGGTGAAACCACTGAGCTAAATCCCTGGCCCCAAATGGTCATTTCTACTAATTCTTATTACCTGACTTTGTACTGTGAAATTACAAGAAGGAAAAAAAATCTCCTTCTCCTGCCAGTCTCCATTGTAGTAAAAGAAAAAGTAGCAGTCTTTAGGTTAATAACAGTATTTTTGAGATTTGCAGGGGAAAAATACTTTGCCACCAAAGAGTAATCCATACAGAGAAGCTGATTGCTAGGTGAAATACTCTGCCAGAATAAGACTTTATAATAGAATTTATCGACATGAGAACTCCACACTGTTGAAAAGTACCACTCACCTCTTCCTGAACTCAAACAGAATGGAATGATATAGTATTGATGAGATTTTGTCTGCTACAGGAGGGCAGAAAAATGCATACTTAATTCAAAGTGGTTTATCAGGGATGAACAGTGGTATGACTGGAGCCAAACAGATCACACCCCCAGGACTCCAACATACCCATGATTGAGACATCATATTCTATCAGCAGCGTTGCTTCTTGTCCACATTGTTTAAGAATACTCATGGCTTCAGCATGTGTGGTTCCAAGGAGCCGAATTCCATCCACACTGAGTAACCTGTCACCAGGTTTGATTGTACCCTCTCTAAAGGGAGAATAAAGGAAGTCATTATTAATTTATCATAATGAGGCTTAGCGTTAATAGTCATTTAGCCAGTCATTCTTACACACATTCTTCCATCCATCCCATTTGTATTCTTCTTAAGCATCAAGTACAAGAGCAAGAGCATAAAGGGTAATCCTGAACAGAAAAATGCCATAATGCAAATATCAGTAGTGAGAAAATAACTACATATTAACAAATAACCTAGTTATCCACAATTAACTCTTTGAGTACAAAAGTGAGAAAGGCACATTTTCCCCTTTCTAGGTTTTTATCTGAAAGTCTAAAATTGATCTATTGGAGCCCAGGAAAAAACACTTGTTTTTCCAAAGCCAGGTGGGCAGAAAAGCTTTCTAATTTCACTCTATTACCAGTGAACCGAAGCAAAATATGTAGTGCTGGTGAGAAATTTCCCCAGTCTATAAATTTCTCTACTGATTTATAAGGCCACTTAGCAATCATTAAGTTGATTCAGTCTCATAATCCTTGGGAGAAGCAGGCAAACAGTATTGTCCCTGCTGTGACCACAGAGTCTGAAGGCACTGGGAAATGAAGACTCAGGACATTAGGGACACCATGGAGGTGGGGTCAGGGGGCCTTTCAGATTCCAGTGTCCCTGCATGGAGGCTTACAAATTTAGGATCTGAAGAGAATGCAAGTGATACCTTAAATGAACATATTTTAGTCAATTAACTAAGTATTTTGACTCTAAAATTTTATCAAATTCTAATTTAATTAATCTGATAATACATTACTCTTAAACTCATACTCTATTTCTGACATTCCTGTGAATCCTAACCCTAAATGTTAATATGAAAGTGACATATTTTTATTTTCATCAGAAAGACTAATTCTTAAGAGAAGCATGACAGAGGAAAGGCAAGATTTTCCTTGAAGTTTTTGACTCTGGGTTATCCTTTGCAAAGGCAAATAAACTTGAGCACAGGTGAGAACCAGTGCCTCCATGTTCTTTCCTAGAAGTGATCTAACAGTATAAACTTTGGAGGAAAATAAACCTGAAGTTTTGTATCCTGGTCCTACTTAATAGCTAATACTAAGTGACTTAGTTGTTCTAGTCCCTTGTTTTGTCATGTGTGAGACAATATAAAAAACCTTATTTACAGGGTGCATGTAAAGCTAAAATGAAATAATGCTGGCTAAGTAGTATAGTTTCTGGCACATAGTACACATTCAGTAAATATTATTTGCTATTATTATTTCTCTCTCTTTAAAAAGGTTTAAAATATATCCTGGTGTGAAACAGAAAAAGTTTAACCAGTACATTTTCCTCCCACCATTCAAAAATACCTAAGGGCAGAAGTTGTATTCCATCATAATTAAGGAGTTGAATTTTTCTTTGATAAAGTAATATGCTGCATAGAGAGATGTATCTTCAGAGAAAGTTAAAATGTGAGTTTACCTTGGAACCAATTTATGTTAGGAAAGCTGAAAGTGTTTGTAACTCACATATTCATATTTTCAAAAAAGAAATGAAAGGAAGTGAAAACTCTGATAAATTCCTTCCATTTTAATAAAAGTCATTTCCATTCTGATATACAAAGCCATCATCAACAGCTAATACTAATAGTGATTGGGATGCTAATAGCAGTAAGAATCAGAACACCTACCACCTGTCTTCCTATGCTGGGAACTTAGCAGTTGGAGAGGATGCACTTCAAGCGTCTGCCTTGAGTCAGCTTCCTTTCATAAGTGCCTTCCTCCAACCTTTGATAAAAGTGAACAAACGCTAAAAGGCAAGTATTATTGTCTAGGTCTACAATGGAGGAAAATTGAACTCAGAAGTAAATTATTTGCCAAAGATAGAGTGTAGAATCTGGGGAAAAACCTCATATTATTTAAACTTTACAGCCCCAAATTTTAGTTTTCATACCGTAATATATTTTAATATTTACCTTTTACTACTAAATTGATTTCTATGCCAAAGTCACCAGCTCTATTTAATCTGTTTTGGAGTGTGACACAGAAAGATGATGCTTACCTGTCAGCAGGCCCTCCAGGACGAACACATGTTATCACAACTGGACGAGATTTATTTCTGTCATCATGTGCTCCTCCTAGCAAATAAAAGGAATGCGGCTTCATAACACTTTCATTGTTGCCATTTAAAAACATCACCTAGAGTATGCCAGCTGAGAAACTGCAGTACATTTGTTGATGTATGTAAGGAAATGGGTAAAATTTACTTCTGGCATATAATAGCCTTAAAGATTTCACTTCATATAGAGTACATTTTGAAATCATCAATCTCCACATCTCAACAAAGATAGCTGCCATCATATGACATATAAAACATTTAGCAACTGGTATGGCAAGAGGAACAACTAATTACAACTACTGGAATACTGATTTATAAAAGGATAGAGGCTGAAGCCAGCCAAAAAACCTTTCTATAAATTTGATTCACAGGTTTGAGTTTAAATATAAACTCAATATAAATGAGTTCATGTTAATATGTGAGATTCTTAATATGTGAAAATCTATCATTATTTTAAATAATAAAGCAAGTTTAGTGTGTGATTCACTTAGGTTCTCAAAGTTTGAAGCTGCAAAGCAAAATAGAGACCATTCAGAGACAAGTGATATTCTTTGGTCTTAATAATTCATATTAACATCATCTAAGGTGCTTTAAAAATATCAGTGTCTAAACTGGCAATGTAGCTTATTGGTAATGTACATAGTTTGCATGCATCAGGCTTTGGGTTCAATATCTAGCACCAGAAAACAATTCAATGCCAGGGATATTATACAGACCCAAACTGTATGTTTAGTAGCATATAATAAGTGAGTAGACCTCATTATAATTTTACAGTTGAGAATGACTGAAATTTCCTTGTCCAAAGTGAAAAGCAAACTTAGTGGCAGAGTATACCTCCTCTTAGCCCAATTCATCTCCTTTAGCTTGGTGGCAAGGAACCAACTGAAATTTAATTCTCCAAGATTTAGGCCAAAGCATCATTCTTCATTCTGATATTCTATTGTTTGGGAATCAAGATTTTACAACTTCTCACTTACAGCATTAGAAATATAATTCCATTCATCAGGTAAAAGTTTATTTTAACACTCAAAATTCCATTTTAACAGATTAAAAGAATAAACTTTCCAGTACTAAATGGACATATTCCATTAGCAATATCTGCTCCTCTTTCCTGATTTTCTTAGTATTATGTGCTCCATCGACCTAAATTTAGCTCAAATTCTATGTACGCCAAAATGTCTTACTGGCCATGCTGATATTTACCCAAAGTATCTTCTCATTCTGAATACCCAGTGATTCTTTTTTTTTTCTTTTCAGAGTTTCAAAACAAGAATTTTATTCCTTTCAGCACATTTTAATCCCTTTTCACATAAAAAAAGCTAAATATGAATGAATGAAGAACAGATTCAAGAGTGGTTCCTCTAGATCCATAGTGATGAACGTATGGCACGTATATTACTGTGTATTTCTTTTAAGACAAAAGATGTTAATGTAGAGTTGTTTTTTCTAAACTAAAACCTCAGTATTTGGTTTTTAAGGGCAGTGTTGGGACTTTCCAATAAATAAGGAGGTTTGGGGTTAGTTTGGTACTTGGTCTCTAAAAGGTTCACCATCACTGCTCTAGATGATGCCACCTCATCTCTTTACTTTAGAAATTCATCAGTAGATCACCAACAAACTGCAAGCAATGTATCTCAAGGGGTGATGTGTATAATATCGACTCAGGATAGTCTTTGAGCTGGAAATTCTTGGGTCCCATCTCAAAACTAAAAATCCAAATGTTTGGTGGGCAAAGGATCTACATGATCAGCAAGCAATCCAGTTGGTTTATATGCATGTAAATACCCCATTTTTTAGTGTGCCAGCTTAATGATAAATACTATCTAAAAGATTTAATAGACCTTACAAAACAAAACTAGAAACACTAAGACATTTTAAAGTACTGTATACATATATTTAGAAAAAATTCCAAACACTAGATAGTAAATTCTGATGAGAAAAGTTAGTTTGATAAACAGGACTGGCTTTAGGGGAAATTTAAGTTTCCAATGTGAAGTCAAATTTTCCATTTATTTTCAGAAACTTCGTTTCTCCTTTCTCTGCTTCCATGCAATTCTTTGTTCCACAACACTTGGGTCTTTCTCCTCTGTAAGCCGTCTTACTTTATGAGGTGGGCTTTCTTCTAAAATCATTCCAGTGATGGATTTCACTTTTTCTTTTTCCTAGATTCACTTCTATGAACCAGAGTCCATGTATGTGTCTTAATTATAATGACAGGAATACAATTTTTGTGAGAAAAGCACCCTTGCACCAGTCCTGGCCGCGGGAGTGGCTGTGGGCTCCTCCCCCAGGGCCTCCGCTATCTGGGTCAGGTCGCAGCAGCCCTGGCGCTGGACCTTGAGACCTGCGGCCTCTCGGACTGCTGGACACCTGCGGCTACCCGCCTGCTCACAAGGTCGGGTCCTGGATTTCCTAGGCCTAGAGGCCGGCGCGGCGAACTCAGGTGCGTACCTAGGAGAGGAGGGGCCACAGGGCTGTTGGGGCAGATATCCAGTGATTCTTAAGGAATCATTGGTAGGGAAGAATCTAGAGATGGTCTCCAAACTGATTCAAAGAAACAAATCTTCTTTGAGAAATCACGGAAAATTCAGAAAACTTAAAAGTATGCAGTGAATTAAGAATATTATCAAAGCTTACAACATTGTGGTACTCATGAACTAAAATCGTTACATTATTGCTGAGGTTTTAAAGTCAGTGATGCTGTAAGTCTGATGTTCACACAAATCTAGGAAACAAGTCATTTATTCATTCACTTACTAAGCGCCACCCATATTCCAGGCTCATATTAAAAATTCCTATATGTGCACACAGATGTTTGCAATTCTTGCAATTTGTGGGAGGTACATTTTGGTAATATCACATCATCAGTTGTGTTGTGGTAGTTGTAGCAATAATTGTTTTTGTTCTTTTTACTATTTAATGATAAATTGGTATTGATTTAGCTGCTTCACTAACAATTTGTTTGTTATTAGCCATACAGTAAGTAGTGATGAATATTTATGACAACATTTAAATTTTTTGTGGCAGCTTTTCAATAATTAAGACTCTACATGTGTTACGGAAGAGCACTTCTCTTTGGACCTACATTGCAGAAACAGAATTGTATTACCATTTCAATCTAAATTATTTGTACTGTGAGTTTTCACTACATTTATCTATTTTTTTTACATAGAGTTTTGGGAATGGTTACAGTCAATGATTTTGGAATCATTGTTCCTCTTTTTAAATTATTTTTTAAAATTAGTATGTGTTTATAGTACATAATGGTTACATTCCTTGTGGGGAGTTGGTACGTGTACATAACACACCTTTATTCTTTCTTTCATCCTCTTTCCTTTCCCTCCCACTCCCCTCCTTCCATTTCTTGGTCTCCTTCTCTTTTGCAAAAGATCTATCTCCTCTGTGCTCTTCTTAAAAATAGGCCATGGCCAGAAAAATGTAATTAACTACCGGTCTAAAACACATAATGAGTACCTAGCTTTTCATCCTTTCTATGTCACACTTGGGCACTTTATCAACTTCTACCTTAAATTTGCTGGATCGTAATTCCCTGTAGATAGAAATCTTATGACTCCACAGCACTTATTCCTATGCTGACATGTTGATGTGTGCTAATAAGTATTTGATGGATTGATCTGGTAAACAAGTGGTCCAGATTGGAACCTAACGTTTATTTATTTTATTAGCACATGTTTGTGATACATAATTGACACATTCATCATAGGGAATTGATACTTATACAAATTGCATCTTGATCCTTTCTTTTCCCTTCCCTCTCTTCCCCCCATACCCCCCGAATCTCCAGATCTCCTTCCCATCTGCACAAAGTCTGTCTCTTTGTTTCTCATCATCTATCTTTAATTTGCTTTTCAATTTACATATTAGGTTTCTCATATGAGAGAAACTATACACTATTTAATCATCTGTGTAGTTTTTTTTTAAAGCTTGGTCACTTATGACAACTTTGTACAAGTGAACACATCTCTTTTAATCCTCAGTGCATGTATATTTATTAAGATGTTTCTTTGAGGTATACATATTCATTGAGGTGCTTAGTTAATGTTAATGTTTTAATAATTTAGATAGACATTTCTGATGAAATACAAAATTTTACAGTTAAAATTAAAAAATGTGTAATGTTGAAAAATTCCCAATGCTTATACAGATCCCTATTAAATCTCATTGTCATACCAGGAATCCAGAGTTGTTATGCAGGCATAGTCTTGCAGAGATAAAATTTCTAATAAGAAAAACCAAATAAGAAAAGCCAGAATCACAGCTCGGAATTAATGGTCTTGTAGACAAGGTAGAATGCCTTGAAATTTTTATTATCAGTGCCATGCTGCAATAAGATGTTTTGAGCTGATTCACATAGGTACCTGAGGGATTAGATTATCTTTGATCCACTTTTAGAAGCTGAAATAACAAAATGTATTTCAGGAGAAATTAATTTAAACAAAGTCGCTTAATCCTTCTGTATTAAATCAAATAAAGTCATATTCATCAACATTTTTGATTCAGTGATATAGAAAAAGCAAAGGCAAAAGACATGCTGAAAAGTAACAAATTAGTAAGAGTACTGCAAATTGACAAGTTTTACAAACTATAGTTGCTTGCTTTGTACTAGTGGGCTAAAAATAAAGCAGATTGTTCTTTTTCTGTGTTGATTCCCATTCTTTGTTTTGTTTATATAAAGAAGAGTAGATGGAAATATCAAAAGGTGATTTTATGTAATGGAAATATCAGGGTTTTTTGTTTTTGTTTTTTTTGGTACCAGGGATCAAACTCAGGACCTTGTGCTTGCAAGGCAGGCGAGGTGCCACTGAGCTAAATCCCCAGCCTGAAATATCCGTTTTTAAAGGATGATGTTCTTCTTTTAGTCTCGATATTTTATTGACATATTCTCCAAGAGTTTCTAATGGTTCGTATTTTATAACCATCACCTACCTCGTATTACAAAACCAAAGGTATTCCCTTCTTTATGTAATGTGACCTCCACTGTTCGGAAAATAACACTTGATCCTTGTACAGCTGAATATAGGAAAGAGAGAGAGAAATATAAAATTTAAGTTATAATTTTTCTCAATTTTTCATTGTAGCATAAAATATTACAAGTTATTCTTGCAAGTATTTTTTTGAGTAATACAAAAACAATGATTCCAACAAAACATTAGAATTCTAATGATATAAAAATACCATAAAATAGTTATTTCTTTTTTTTTTTTTTTTGGTACTGGGGATCGAACTCGGGTCCTTGTGCTTGCGAGGCAGGTGGCGGAACCACTGAGCTAATTCCCCAGCCCAAAAATAGTTATTTCTATAAGTGACTTCTATATAAGTGACTTTTATATAAGTGACTCCCAAATCATAGCCAGTTCCTTTCCTTCTGTATAGACAGTTTCCAGATAGAGGGTGATCACTGCGCTGTTTAAATTCTGCATAGCAAGAGGGATAATCTGCAATAAGTAGAAATGTTTTCTTTTTGTGAAATGCAAAAACAATGTGATTTTTGGAGAAGTTATGAAATAATTTCTGCTTTATTTTTATTGTATAGGTGGCATGGGAAAAGAAAGTATTACTCTCAGATTACCATCAACAGATTAGGCTGATGGAAATAGATGTTCTGCCATATAAATAGCTATTAAACAAAGACATCAGCAACCCAAATGAAACTTGGAGAGTGAAAACAATTCAAAGCACATTCAAAATACTACTATTAAGAAACTAAAGATCAATTTAATTTTACTTTGTGTTACCACAGTTGTGCTGTTTGCCTGCTTACTGTTCTCATTTCACAAAATGAAATTGCATTGGCAAGTTGCAATCGTGACATTATTCACATATATGAGGGTAAAGTTATTGTGAAGGCAGAGACACTAAGACATTCTGTAAGACTGCTTCTGGAGACTAGTAATCCTGGTTGTATAACACACAAATTTCCACAAATTGATATTTTATCATTATGAAGACAGACTTCCTTATATTCTCAGAGATAGAAAAACTTATGATGTGTAGAAGTAGGTTCAGATCCTTTTTTGAATTTGTACAATGAGATCTAGTATCTAATGCCATATTCATTATTGATAATATTTTTACCTTGTTACTATATCCTAAATGTTCATTACCTAAAGCTGTCAACAAAAAGTAGATAGTCCCTCATTTATGAAGATTCAGCTTATAATTTTTTTGCTTAAACAATAATGTGAAAGCATGCCCATACTACCATTCTTTCTCACTTTCAGTATAATATTCAATAAAGCACATGAGCTCTTCAACACTTTATTAGTTAGGTTTTGCGTTATATTATTTTACACAATTTAAGGCAAATGTAAATGTTCTGCGCATTTTGTTAGGCTGGATGAATCAAAAGCATTTTCAACTAGTAATGTTCTCAACTTAACGAAGGGATTATTAGGACCTGAGCCTATAATAAGTCCAGGAGCATTTTCTATATAGACAAGATTTAAAGGGATCTTTAAAAAATACTTTTCTCCCCATTTACAGAAATAGTTAGTGATTTTAATTAAGTATTAATTACAATTATTTTTAATTATCAGAAAATCTGAGCCCTCAGAAGAATACTGAGAAAATGATTATGCAAAGCATCTTTAAATTCATAAAACTGTACACTAATAGGCTAGAACATAAAATACAGTAAGAGCTTGGATTTACTGAAGAACAACATAAAACCTCAGCAGGACAAATGTTCTGGCATGCTGCTGATTTAATTAAATGTCATATTCTTGCTATCAGGGGAATTGCAGTTTATTCTAATCAACCAGGAACAATACATATAAACAACTGAAGAGGTAAGGTATAGTTTTAATTAAATGAAGACTAAAATTGGATTCAAATCAAATGTTTGCTTATTTCTGTGACCCAAAAAGCAACTTGAGGAAACCAGTTAAAAAACATTGCTTTTGCCAAATTGGTAAGGGAAGAAAAGAAAAGGATATGATGAAAAATAACTGTTGAGCCTGTCCTGTATGCCTGCACTCTGCAAAGCAGTTTACAAATATTATTTAATTTAATTTTTAAATTATCTTTCAATTATGTACAACTGAGTTCTAATTCCAGACCATCTGTCCTTGTTGGCTAGATGTCTGTTCTGGGAATGCAAAGTATACTAATTTTAATTTTCCTTTAGCTAAATCTTGCTGACCACAAAATCTTACAATCAAATATAAGTCATCATAAAGACTTTTGGGATTATCTACAGCTTTAGATTATCCACACTATTGCCATCATTTACAATGATAAATGTGAGTGTTGTAAATTTTAATATTATTAATGAAATCAATTTGATCTTTATAGTTTTTATTTGCATGATTGACTCTTGGTAACTAGACTGTCACACTCAGTACCAGGTATTCTTTAGCAGTTATGTGAATTTTACTCATTACTTCACAAGTGTGTATTGTGAATCCAAAGGTACAATTAAAGGCTTACCCAAAGAATAAAAGAGCTAGATAGAAACCAATTTCATAAAGCAAAACTACTCCTCAGTATTTTAGTTGTACTCTTAACCCTTATTTCTATTTGTGAATATGTGTGTAGTTCTCTACAGTTATTTTACATGGTAGAATAGATTGCTCCAACTTATCCAGTACTTCCCTGCCTTCTTGCTGACCCCAACACCAGCACCTCAAGAGGAGTATAGGAATTATCAAGTGTGCACTTTCCTACCTCATCATGTTATATGTGCCCATTTGTCTTGCTTTTGCAACATGAGGCCAAGAGATGCAAACAGAAGCAGGAAAAGTAGTCAGGCTTGTCTTTTATTCCTTATGTCACAGGAAGGGCTTCCCCAAGAAGAGGTACCCCTCTAGATGCAATCTCAGAATGAACCACATGGATGAAACAAACCTTCTCTCTCTCCACCATCGCCAGCAGCACCACCACCACCATCTGTCATCTGTCTCTCTGGGTCAGAATTGAGGAGAAGGCTGTCCAGTGACACATTCATTTGGGGTAAGAAAGGACTCCTTTTGACAGAAAGCTAGTCTGATTCAGCTCACGAATTAAAATGTGATCTTTCTTTGCCAATCAGATTATGTGGCATAGATTTTTTTTTAAAAAAGGTAAATCAGTAGTTCCAAGGTTTAAATGGAAACAATGTGTAAATAAACAACATAATAGAAATTAGATTCTGTTCAATTATTTAAGCTTAAAATGAAGAATTTTAGGTGTCACCAGAAAATGGAAGAAAACAAAACATTTCAAACTTATGTAGGGTTAATGTGATCACAAAGTTTGAGGACCCTGCCCTTCACCTACTTTTAAGGCATAAATACCTAAGACACATTTTGGTTGTATTCTCACTAAAAACAATCTCAAAGCATCAAACAATTTCAAAGGAAAAGGAACTACTGACCTCATGGAGACCAATCATTTCATTTTCATGAAGAAATGGAATAACAGAAAAGACAAGTGGCTTGCCCAAAGTCAAGTTTTAATTTTTCCTCTATTGGATCATGGCCACACACATATCCTTCTCTCAGTTCTTCCCAAACTCTGGGCTGGGTGGAGCCTCAAATTGCTGGAGTCTGGAGAGAATTACTGGCTTTCGCCTTGGGTAGCTTATCTTAGCAGTCAGTTCTCCCTGGACCTCAGCTGGTCTGTTTTGCTCTAGCAGTCTGAGCTAAGGGAAGGGGAGGCTTGTTAATCTCTTCAACCTCTTTGAACTCAAAGATCTTATTAATTTCCCCAAATATAATAAAAAGAGGCAGAGATCATCCTTGGAGAGTAGACTTCTTCTACCTGATTTCTACCATGAAAATTCATACTTCTGGGTTTAAAATTTGTTTTACATCTTTCACCAGATTTATAGCACAAAGAAGAAGAAATTGGTATAATCACCAAGTGAAAAATGGTTTTACTCCTGAATATTTTTCATATCCATCCTCTTTAACTCTACTAATTCTAGATTGACTTACATTATCACCTGTTTTGGAAAATTATAACAGTCTTTAGCCTTATAGCCTCTAATCTATTCCTCCGTTGGCCTCCAAAATGATAATGTAAAAATTCTGAACTTATGACAGTTCTAAAACCCTGTAAGGGCTCCATATCACCCACTTGAGGCCATCCAAGCTTTTCCAACATGGCATAAAGAACCCTCCTCATTTGTTTTCTGTTTACCTCACTGATTTCATCCTTATTCATGGCTTTTCTGCCTCTTTGTGCTTCAGCAACTCCAGTCTGTGCAGTTTAACCTGTACACTAGGCTGTGTCATCTCACCCTCCTCCTGTATTCTCTGCATGGAATGTTCCTCTTCCTACTTGACCTGTTCTATGCCCTTCAAGTCTTCGCAAGAACACCCAGCTCTGAATCATCCATAATATTGGGCAAATCTCTACTATGGGTCTACTTCCACAGCTATAGCAAGAGCTCCTTTTGGAGGGGGTTCTGTTTTATTGATATTTACATACTCAGTGCAATGCAAATACATAATCAAGGAACATTAGCTCCTAGATATCTGGTTCCTTTAACTCACCGGAAATGGTTTCAGATAGTAATTTCAAAGCAAACTGTCTATTCCAAAGTTTAAGAAAATAACACTTTCAGTGTAATAATAACCATACTGGTAATAATGATAAATACTATTAATTATTTACCAAATATGTGATAATGGTCTAAACAATGATAATGTGAGTAGAGTATGGAATCCTTACAAACATCCTGCCAACAACAATAGCCATTTTACATGTGGGAAAGGGTTACAGAGTTTAATACAAGCTAGAAATGAGCAAAGTTGACATTTTACAAGTGATATAGTCTAAGCCTAACATTCTACTTTACTGGCCTACTCTCGGTCAAAATGCAAAATGTTTAGCAAAGTTTTTAAACATAGACTTAATTTCATATAATTGAGTCCTAGATTTTCAGTATTCAATTTTATATTAATAGGAACTTGTGATTGGCTATATTCCCTGAGTGCTCTATACTATCTGTATTCTCATTAATTTCAATTTATATTTCCTGTACAGATCTTTCTCCCAAACTGCAAACCATATCTTCAATTCTTTTC